AATCGTGGTTCATTCCCACAGTGAATGAAATACTATGATACAGTCAGGAGCAACAGTTTTGAAAAATACTACACAATATGAGAGAGGCTAGAGAGCATTATGCTCAGGGAACCAACTCAATCTTATACAGAGACAAATACTACATAAATACATTATTGTAAAAATAGTAGGACAGCCAGTAAAATGTGCATGAAGGTCCAAGGGGGAAAGATAATGGAGAAGAGGGGGCTGAGGGTGAGGGTGGACAGGAGGGAAATTACTGGGTCACAGAATTTGCTGGGTGGGGGAAAGAAGGAATTGGGAAAGATCCAGCTGGGACCTGAAAAGATGGACTAATGGTGGGCATAGATTAATGGTGATTCATTTTTTAAAAAAAATTTTTATTATTAATTTCAATGAAAATTTACAGAGACTTTGAATTTCATCCAGGAGAAGGTGAAAACAGGTTGCTCCTTGGAGGCAACGATTCTGAGGATTCGTCTGACACACTTTGGGCAAGCTGAAAAGGAAGGACATCATTCTTGGAAAGGTAGAAGTCAGTGCAAGAGAGAACCTGAATGAGATGAATTGACTCAGTGACTGGGGTAATGGGGGTAGGTTTGTCAGAGATGATAAGGTTAGCTTAGGATAGAGCAGGGTTTATGGCTATTGTACATAGGGTCATTATGAGCCACAAGTGCCTCAATGGCATATAACAACCACAACAACAAAGTATAAAACTAAAGGGAATTACAAGAGTCAACATGTGAAAGGCAAATCAGCTGGATTTAGCTCTCTGTACTAAAGAACTGATGACATTTGTAGTGGAAAAAAGAAACAAACAAGCTTAAGCTTTTCTAGTTAATATTTACAGTTCTTGCTAAACTGGAGAAGACATGCAATAAAAATACAAGTTATAGTTCCAGCAATTAAAAGTTCTTCCTAACATAAGAAGATTTTATGATGAAACCAAGCACACTGGTAATCAGAGTTTTTAAAAGTTAAACAAAAGTGATAGCAGTCATCTAGTGTTCAATATAAAGAGCTTGAGTGATACTTGGATTATTTCTTAAAAGTTCCACAGAGATAAACTTGGTATTCACTTTAAAAGACATTGAAGAAAGCACAAATAGTGCTGTTGTTGTTGTTATGTGCCGTTGAGTTGCTTGTGACTCATAGCGACCCTATGTACAACAGCCCTGAACCCTGCTCTATCCTGTGCCAATCTCACTGCCTTTGACACACCTATCCCCATTACTCCAGTCACTGAATCAATCCACCTAATAGAGGGCCTTCCCCTCCTGCGCCATCCCTCCACCCTCCCAAGCATGATGTCCCTCTCCAGGGACCTGTCCCTCTTTACAACATGTCCAAAATATATCAGACAAAGCCCCAGAACCCTTGCCTTCAAGGAGCAGCCTGGTTTAGCCCTCTCCTGGATGAATCTGTTTTCTTGGCAGTCCATGTTACATTCAGTACTCTTCTCCAGCACCACAGCTCAAAGACATCAATTCTCCTTCTATCCTCCCTAGTCATTGTCCAACTCCCTGATGCATAACGAGTGATTTCAAAGACCATGGCCTGTGTCAGATGCACCTTACTCTCCAGGGTGACACCATTGCTCTTCAGTACCCTGGAGAGGTCCCTAACAGCAGACTTTCCCATTGCAATACGTTTTTTGATTTCCTGGCTACTGGTGCCAAGGGTGTTGACCATGGAGCCAAGCAGATTAAAGTTGTTAACAATCTCAATCTCTTCACCATCCATCCTGATGCTGCCAATTGGTTCAGTGGTGAGAATCTTTGTCTTCTTGACATTGAGTTTCAATCCATATTGAAGGCTGCAGACCTTGACCCTCTGCAGCAAGCATTTCAGGTCCTTCTCAGTTTCAGCAAGCAGGGTTGTGTCATCTGCATAACGCAGATTGTTAATAAATCTTCCACCAATCCTGATGCCACATTTCTCCTCCTAGAGCCCAGCCTCTTGGATAATTTGTTCTGCATACAGGTTGAAGAGGTACGGAGATAGGACACATCCTGGTGTACACCCTTCCCAATTTTGAACCACGCAGTGTTGCCCCGCTCTGTTCTGACGACTGCCTCTTGGTCCAAGTAAAGGTTTCTCATTAGCATGATCAAGTGTTCTGGGATTCCCATTCTTCTCAGAGTCAGCCACAGTTTGTTATGATCCACACAGTCAAACGCCTTTGCATAATCAATGAAACACAGATATTCATTATTCTGGTATTCCCTGCTTTCAGCTAAGATTCATCTAACATCAGCTACAATATCCCTAGTACCACGACCCCTTCTAAACCCAGCCTGGACTTCTGGCAGTTCTCTGCTGATGTGCTTTTCCAGTCGTTTTTGGATAATCTTCAGTAGAATCTTGCTTGTGTGTGAAATCAGTGAGATTGTTCTATAGTTTCCACACTGTTGGGTCACCTTTCTTTGGAATGGGAACAAATATAGATCTCTTCCAGTCAGTTGGCCAAGTGGTTGTTCTCTAGATTTCTTGGCACAACTTGGTGAGCACGTCCAGGGCTGCATCTGTTAGCTGAAATACATCAATTGGTATACCATCTATTTCTGGGGCCTTGTTTTTTGCTATTTTCTTCAAAGCAGCGTGAACTTCTTCCTTCATCACCGTAGGCTCTTGCTCATATGTTTTTTCATTAAATTCTTCTGTGTCTGTCAGTTCCTTTTGATACAGTGACTCAGTATATTCTTTCCATCTTCTTTTAATTCTTCCTGGATCATTTAATATTCTGCCTAAAGTATCTGATGTTAATGAGAACAATGTAGTCTTCATGTGTTCCAATCTCTCTTCTTCTGTTCTGTGGTTTCCAAACTTCATTACGTATAACCAATTGTCTTGTAAATTTGTACCTACATAGGAACTTTTTGGAAAAAGATTGGGTGAATCATTACTACCCATTCCTGTCACTACCAATACAAATCAAAGATCTTCCCCCCACCTTATGCTAGTTAGTTAACAAGTTGATTTTCATCTCAGTATGAGTCCAGCATCATGTTGAAGGCATTTTTGTGAAAAGTTTTATCTTGTAAGAGTTATGCCATTCTAACTAGGATCTCTTTTTATTAATTGTTTTTGTATTAATTGCCACTTTGGGATTTGTCCTCCCAATGGTCCCAGTCAAGGAACATATGCTAAGTTTTCATTTGTTTCTATACAAGTCTTATTTGTACTAGAATAAAGGGTTCATCCCCTGATAACTTCAATGCCCTAAAGACTTTCCATATTCTACTAACAGCAATTTTTTCAACAGATTCAGGTTTTTTCTTCAGGAGTAATGGAAAACACACATTATTCTCTGGTTCTACTTCATGCAGTGTACTTTGGGGAAAGATGATATAGGAAGGCAATTTGGTTGAGGCGTTCAAGGTTGTTTGACAACTGCAGAGCCCTCACATCAGTTTACAGAAGATGAGAGAATAGATAAGGAAGAGAATGGCAGGCATTGTGGATGGACACAGAAAGGTTGGTATTGAGAGAGATTGATGACATACTACTTGAGAATCAGATAAAGTATATGACAAAAATTTGGGAAAAAAAGATAGTAGCCATAATGTGGTCAAGAGAGAGTATTAAACCATCCATTTCTTCAATGATGTTTAATTTAAAAGGAGTGACTATTTTATTCCACAAATACTTTTGATAAAGACTTCATTTATCTCTTCTCTGATAAGAGTGTCAAAGCACAATGTTCTTAAATTTTCCCTACAGAATCCTATTTTTCGTTTTTGTTTTTTTTTGACCCTTGTCTCTTATCTCTGCTAACCTTTAGAAGAATGTTGAACAACAGATCATGCAGACAAAAATTAAAAGTACAAATCAAACTGCATATATTAATTTCTTATTTTTCCCTCTACAAAATAAAAACTACAAGATTAACTTGTAATGTTCATATATCTTAAGTTATCTTACTGAATATTCAGAAGATGTACTCTAAAATTTAGAAAGTCAAAACAAATGATGTAATTGTTATTACTCAGAATTTAAGCAAAGTCTCAGTTATTGTCTGAGAACCTATGTAATGATGTAAAAAATGTCTTCAGAACTTACAAGCCTCACCACCCTGTGATAGACATTCTCAAATTTCAAGCGTGGTTATCAGCATTTCTCTCCTATTTTCTTTATCCAAACACTCTTCTTTCTTGTTCTTTATCTTCCCTACATTTTTCTGTTGTTGTTGTTGATTTCTTTAAGCTTGGCTTATAGCCACCCATGAACAAAAGGCCGGAAGCCCCTCTATAACAATCAATGTTTATCAAAGTTCACAGAGTTTCCAGAGACATGTTATTTAGGAAGTGGATGCCAGTCCTGCTTCTCTGTAATTCTCCACCTCCTCCTTCCAAATGTAGCTGCATTCTCATTTTCCTTTGGAAGCATTCTATAATTTATCTCCACAATCTATCTCATTTCTCTGTTCATCAGGATAGGTATTTAACTGTTTGTATTGTAAGTACACAGAAGCTGGAATATGTACGTTTATACTTCCATTTGCATATTTTTTTATCAAGAAGTCTTTAGCATAAATAAGCAAACCTGAATTTTTTCTATAATTATTTCCAACTGAAATTAATTTTTTCCTTTCAATAATAGTAATTTTTAATTACTACTGAGTTGTTTTTTGCTCTTCTGTTAAACTTTCACCTATATATAGATTTAATAAGATGGTAATAACTCTATAGTCAGGAAATTGGGAATAAAAAAATTGTGTCAGGGAGGAATATAAATATGAGGAGGGTTTTTTTTGTAAAAGATTATTTTTCATTAAAATAATCTTTTTAGATATCTTTATATTTATTCAGATATTAACTAAAGAAAAGAAATTTTTATTGATTTTATTTGCAATAGGACAAACATAAATATAAGTATAAAGAGAAAATGAGAAAAATTTTACTGCCATAATGGAATACACTCATATTTGGAAGTGACATTCATTTATTTTCCAGTCTGTTTACAAGAATTTGACAATAGATATGTTTATGTGCTTTTCTTTTCAGGTAATAAGAAATGAATGACAATGGAAAAAAATGAAAGTTCTGAAGACTACTTTATTCTACTAGGTTTTTCTCATTGGCCTGAATTGGAAGTGGTTCTCTTTGTGGTTATCTTGATATTCTATTTGATGACACTGATTGGTAACCTGTCTATCATTATTTTGTCATACCTAGACTCCCATCTCCACACTCCCATGTACTTCTTCCTGTCAAATCTCTCTTTTCTGGATCTTTGCTATACCACCAGCTCCATTCCTCAGTTGTTGGTCAACCTTTGGGGGCCTGAGAAGACCATCTCTTATGTTGGTTGCATGATTCAACTCTACTTTGTCCTTGCACTGGGAACCACAGAATGTGTCCTGTTGGTGGTGATGTCCTATGACCGTTATGCAGCAGTGTGCAAACCCTTGCATTACTCTGTCCTCATGCATCCTCGTTTTTGCCAGATGTTGGCTGTGGGTTCTTGGGTAAGTGGCTTACTTGCCTCAGCTGTTCATTCCTCTTTTACCTTCTGGGTACCTTTGTGTGGACATCGCCAAGTGGATCACTTTTTCTGTGAAGTTCCAGCACTGTTGCGATTGTCATGTGTTGACATCCATGCTAATGAACTGACCCTCATGGTCATGAGTGCTGTTTTTGTGATCATACCACTTATTCTCATTCTCAGCTCCTATGGGGCCATTGCCCGGGCTGTGCTGAGAATGCAGTCAACAACTGGGCTTCAGAAAGTTTTTGGGACATGTGGAGCCCATCTTATGGTTGTAGCCCTCTTTTTCATCCCAGTTATGTGCATATATCTCCAGCCACCATCTGGGAAATCTCAAGATCAAGGCAAGTTCATTGCCCTCTTCTATACTGTTGTCACCCCTAGCCTTAATCCTCTGATCTACACTCTCAGGAACAAAGATGTAAGAGGGGCAATAAAGAGACTAATGGGGTGGGAGTAAGACCTATACAAAATAAATCAACTGCTTTGCAAATTTTCTCAGAGTATCTTGTCCTTTGAAGAAAGTGGTTCTTCTTCTTTTTTTATATAAAATTTTTGTTTTATACTGGTTTAGTTACAAAGTTCATATATATTGTTTTCACACCAGATTGTTCCCATTTTCCTTTATCCACCCCTCCATCCACCCATCAAATTGTGTGTCCCTATGATTATACTCCTCCCACTCTCGCCCTCCCCAACCTTGGATCCTCATACACGTTCTACAATAATGGTCTTATACAGTATTTGCCTTAGACTGTGTTGGTTCACTTAGCTTAAAATGCTTTTCAGTCCCTCCCAAATTAGGTAGTGATTTACAAAATCATTGCACCTGCATAGTATTCCATCATGTGAATGTACCATCATTTCTCAATCTGTTTGATTGTGGTTGGACATTTGGGCTGTTTCCATCTTCTTGCAATGGTGAATAAGGCTGCTATGAACATTGGTGTACAAGTCTTTGCTTATACCTCAGTTCTTAGGAGAATATTTCAGCCTCAAATTTATTGTTCTCCTTAATGGTTAACTTTGAGATTTTATGTACACAGAATTTAGCCTCATACTACATTGTTGTTATTGTTGATTTCCTTTGAGTCTAGAACAACTCATAGTGACCCTATGAACAAAAGGCCTAAAGCCTTTCAATATAGCTATTGGCATTTATCAAAGTTCATAGAGTTTCTGGAGGCATATTGTTTAGGAAGCAGATTAGTTCTTGTGAAATTTTATATTTAGTTTTCATAGTAATTAGAGACTCTTCTTATCTTTTAACACAAATATTCTTTTGTATATAATGATGAAGTTATTAGTATTAGTAGGTGCCATTGAGTCGAGTACAATTTCATAGTGACTTTATGAACAAAAGATCTGAAACCAGTCCTGTCCTGTACCATTCTCACACTTCCTGACACACAAGTGCCCACTGCAGCAGTCACTGTGTCAATCCACCTGGTTGACAGTCTTCCTCTCCTTTGTCAACCCTCCACTCTTCCCATAATCATGTCCCTCTACAAGGAATAGCACCTCCTAGCAATATGTTCAAAGTATGTCCAAAGCCTCATCATTCTTGCCTCCAAGGAGCACTCCGGCTGTACAATCTCTAAGATATAACTGTTTGTTCTCTTGGTTGTCCATGGGATGTTCAGTGCTTTTCTCCACCACCACAACTCAAAGGCATCAATTCTTTTTCTGTCATCCTTATTCATTGTCCAGGTCTCAATAGCATAGCTAGTAATCAGAAACAATATGGCCTCAGTCAGATGCACCTTAGTCCTCAAACTGACATCACTACTTCTCAATAATTTGAAAAGTTCCTAACTGCAGATTTTCTCAGAGCAATGAGAACTAATCTGCTTCCTAAACAACTGACTGCTTGTACCAAGGGTGTTAATTGTGGATCCAAGCAAGATGAAGCCGTTGACAGTTTCAATCTCCTCTCTATCCATTATAACACAGCCTATTGGTCCAGTGGTAAGAATCTTTGTTTTCTTGATATTGCGATGCAATCCATACTGAAGTCCTCCTCACTTTCAGCAAGTAAGGTTGTGTCATCTGCATAACACAGGCTATTGATGAGTCTCCCTCCAGTCCTGATTCCACATTCCTCTAAATAGAGTACAGCTTCTTGGATAATTTGCTCAGCAAATAGATTGAACAGGTATGGAGATAGAATACAACCCTGACATATATGAAGAAGTTAATTTAAATGATTAAAAAATATTAAAATGATATTATCACATATGACTGGAAAGTAAATTTTTACTTTAATCAAATCACAATAAAAAGTTTTAAAAAATGACATTATCAATATGCTGACTCATGCACGAAGCATTAATAACTATAGAAAGAGAGGAAGCAGTTCATCAAAGTTAAACTTCAATTTTTGGACATTGAATAGGCACTAAATTTTGAAAAAATTTGGTCATTGCAAAAGGAAAATGATTAACATAATGAAAATTATTACTTATGGTATAAAGTATAGATAAATGATATTTCTCTAGTTTAAATGTAATTTTTTTCAAGGTGCTAAGTTACATGAGCACTTTATTGTGGGGCATATATACTTATCATTCTCTCCAGGGGCACAACAGATTAAGTATTGAGCTACTACTAGTCAGGAGAAAGAGTTGCACTCTGTCTTAAAAGATCTCTCTTCCTATAAATCAGAATAGATATGAAGGTAATGGGTTGGATTTTTTTTCCCCCTTTCCTGTTTGGCCTTTTTAGTTTTTGGTATCTGTCACACTGAACAGTAAAAACAAATATATATTAAAAATGGTCTGTTTTTTATCTATCCATTTACTAATCTCTCTACTTACTTAGCTAATTTTTACTGAGCATCTACTCTTTTTTATTTTGGAGATTTTGGTAACAGAGACAAATAGAACACACTCATTTAAGAAGAAATCACTCTTTAGTGGAGGAAATGACAATGAAACATCAAAAGTGACACTTCTATTTTGTATGTGACTCAATTTGTCATCAGGCACAATGCTGATCTATCAAGATAGCTTTTAAAAGTTTAAAACAAAATAAGAAATTTGGTCATAAATCTTGAAAGAGAAAGCAATTGTTAATTTCTAAATGAAGGCGATGTTACTAACTGAAATAAAACAAAACTGAACAGAATGTAGGAAGCATAGCTTCTTATGCTTTTGATGGATTGAAATCACCAGCAACTCTGTGGTAGAAAGATGGATAAGACTTACAGCTTCAGACATTTACTCGATGACTGTGAGTTTGTGGTTTGTTGTGGGTTTTGTTTTTGTATGTTTTTTTTTAATAAACCAGAATATGCTTTCATTGGTTTGGTTTGTTATGTGCCATTGAGTTGGAATGGACTTATAGTGGACCCTCCACTGGGTTTTCAGAGGCAGAAAATTGGTCAGGAGGAGACTGCTCATCTTTCTCCTGCAGAGTAGCTTGTGGATTTGAACTGCATGCCTTCAGTCAGTAACCTAAAATACCTTAGGTTTTTTCTTTCAAACTGTTATTCCCTCCTTGATCTAATAATTTTTTAATGTTGAAAGGAAATCAATCTTAAATTTATCACTCTTGTTGTAGTTGTTGTCAGGTGCCATTGAGTCAAGTATGACTAATAGTGACCCTATGAACAACAGATCTGAAACCTGAGGAATTGATGCCTTTGAGCTTCAGTGTTGGAGAAGAGCACTGAACATCCACCCTATGGATGGCCAAGAAAAGAACAGATATATCTTAGAGAGGGTTCAGCAGGGTGCTCTTTGGAGGCGAGAATGAAGATGAGGTTTTGCCTCACATACCTTGGGCATGTTGCTAGGAGTGGCTATTCCTTGGAGAAGAACATGGTGCTGGAAAGGGTGGAGGCTTGTCAAAGGCGAGGAAGACCCTTATGTAGGTGGATTTACATGGTGACTGCTGCAATTGGCTCCTGTGTGTCAGGAAGTATGAGGATGGCACAAGATAGAATAGGTTTCCAATCCTTTGTTTATAGGATTGCTAAGTTGTTCTAGACTTGATGGCACTTAACAACAACTACAACTGACACCCTCAAAGCCATTGCTGCAGTCACTGTTCCAATCCACCTAGTTGAGGGTCTTCCTCTGTTTCACTCTCCCCTCATCTTTCCAAACACTGTATCTTTCTCCAAGGAATAGCCTCTCTTAACAACATGCCCAGAGCATGTGAAATGAAGCGTCATCATTTTTGCCTCCAAGGAGCACTGTGGTTGCACCTTCTCCAAGACATATCTGTTTGTTCTTTTGTCAGATCACTTCACTTGATTGTTCTAATTAATACAGCACTTGTATGTCAATTTGCTGTTCTGAGATTACTTGTACATACTGTGATGCTAAAAGCACATTTGCCACTAGTGTCAAATACCAGAGGAGTCACTCCTGGTGGACGAGTTTTAGTAGAGCTTGTAGATTAAGGCAGACTACAAAGTAGGATTGATCATCTACTTCTGAAATAGCGGGTCTCTGAAAACCCTATGAACAAAAGAGATTTGTATTCTTGTTTGTTATCACTCCTATTAGTGTATAAAAGAGTCTGGTGGCACAGTAGTTGAAAGCTTGGCTGCTAAACCAAATGTTTATAGTTCAAACCCACAAACCACTCCAAGCTTTACTTCTGTAAAGACTTACAGCCTTAGAAACACTATTAGGTGGTTCTATTATGTCCTTTAGGGTCACTATGCATCAACCCCACAGAAACAGATTTGGTTCAATGGAAGTTAATAAGATAGATTAATCATTGCTGGGAGAGACTCTCATATACAGAGTCTCCAGATTTTGAATAAATTCTGTTCCTAAATCTTCCTTTAAATTTGTATGTAATTCAGAATAATTAGGTACAATTAATATATGAAGTCATTCAAATGTCTTGTTTAGCATATAGTTAATAGTGTGCCTGTCTATACATAAAAACACTCAGGACTTTTTCTTTGCCTGTGTCTTGGAGCCTGCTCACTTGAAGCAGAAGTAGCCCCTGTTGATTCCCCCACCCTTCAAGGTCAGATTAAAAGATGGAGCATGAAGTTGATCTGTAGATCCCAAGACCCTGACTGCCAGATCCTTCAGAAAATCCAGAAACTAGCCTTCAGACCATTACTAAGATTCAAGGCTAAGGGAATAAAAGAGCAGCCACAGCTGAGTGTCTGAGAGTCATCAGTCAGTAGTGGAGAGAAGGCCATGCTTACGGTCAAAGACCTAGACTGAGGATGCTAGGCTTAGAGGATGAGTGTTAAGGGTGAACAAGGCAAGAGGAATTAAGGAGTCAGCTGGGCTAGGAAAAGCTAGGGAGTGGGGACAAAGGAGTGGTAGGTCTGAGGCTCTGGCCAGGATAGGTGCCACAGAGCACAGAGCTTGCCCTGAAACCTACGTACTGATTTACTTGCTTGCTGTGATGAGTCATTGTATATACCCTGAATTTTCGATATTATAGGTTTTACAAGATTAGTTTGACTTGAATGAAATTCACTGTATGACTAGTCTAAGTCTGTTGGGATTGTAACTGAGACTTCATTGTGTTTATAGATCTGTTTGGGAAGAACCTATATCTTGGCAATATTCAATCTACTGATCCAAGAACAGGATTTATGTATCCATTTATTTCTAGGATCTTAATTTCTCTCAGAAGTTTTGATGTTTAATTTTACAGATGTCAAACATATTTTGCTAAATTAATCCTTAAATATTTAATGATTCTGGATGCTGCTGTAAATAATTAAGACATACAATTGATTTTTGTATTAATTTGCACCCTGTGACTGTATTCAATGTCTTTTAAAGTTCTAGCTACTTTTTAAAAATTTTTTAATTTTATTTTTATTGTTTTGTGTGCATGTACCATCAAGTCAGATCTGACTGGTACAGGAGGAGATTTTTCCTCCTTCTCCAGCAGAGCATCTGGTGGATTCAAACCCCGTACTTCTAGGATTGCAGTGCAGCTTCTTGCCACTAGGCCACCAGAGCTCACCTAAAGTTCTATCTACTTTTTAACACATTCCTTACAACTTTCTAAATGCATGATGATGGTATCCATTTTTTTGTTTAACGTGAGGTATAGATTCTGTTTCATTTTTCTACAAAAGACTATTCAGTCTTGTTAGCACGATAAGTTAAAAAAGAATTATCTCTTCAACTTCCATGAGTTTAATCTTTTTGTCAATGATTAGGTTTTTGAAGAGAGAGTCACAAAGGAGACTCATTTTAGTGTGATGCAATTGTTCTGTGTTTTGCTGAGCTAGTGGATAAATTTTTGTGCATTTATTAAAGAAAAGTATATTAAAGTTTTTCAGATCTTTTGAAAGAACACCACTGTGGTAAAGTTCTCTTCTCATCCTGTCATAGCAAAATTACATGATCTCTATATAGGATAACTTGAGTGCTAGATTTAATCACTAGGTTAAGAAAGTATTTTACCAGATTTCTCCACTGTAAATTTATACATTTTCTTTTTTAATTCTCTACTCTTTGAAAGAACGTCACTTAAGTGAAATATGGTCAACATTTACAATTGGTGTGTTTTTGTAGTATTCCTTTTCCTTTTTATTTCCCCCTGGAATAAAACTATCAAAGTTGTGAGTGAAGGAAGAATAGGGCAGTTGCCCCACCACCCCCAAGCTTGATCACTTCCTGAGAAACTTGATTACAAGACCAGATCAGACAATGGATCATGATAAGGGTCTGAGCTTGGAAAAAAGGTGCTAAAACCTAACTTAATCAGCATGTCAAATTTGGAGAAATACCATCTTAGTCCTCCCCAGGACCCTTATGAAAAGGAAACCCCCCAAACTGCCCATGTGCCAATTAGATCCTGTCTGCATGCCATGTTGCTGGGTCACTTGGCATCAGTCTCAGACCGTGCAATAAAGGCCTGTTCATTTCTTGGGACCAATTCCTTTATTTCTCTTCCTTGTGCCCTCACATTCTTTTTTTTTTTTCAAATTTTATATCTAACAGTGAGACCAAAACAAAGGATAAATAGTAAAAATTATCAAATGCATTACTTAACATCACATCCTTTTTATGTTTGTATGAAATTTGAATTATTTTTGGTAGTTTTTAAAGAATTCTTTCCAAACTGAGTGTATCAATATCCATTCAGTAGTCTCAAGAATTGGTAGCTAGCAACAAATGATGGTTTGGTTTTTGTTTTTAAAGAGTAGATCTGGACTGAAGCTTGTTCAGAATGATATATGATTTTCCTTCCAATAATTTACTCAGTTCTTGATCCTGTCTGAAGAGTTTGCTAGCTAGAAGTTCAACTTAACACTTTCTTTTTCACCTGTGTATTCTCATGTCAAACTGTCAACATATTAATTCAACACTAAAATAAATACAAATCCATTGATTTGTCTATATAAATTATAACTATTTACATGACAAAATTTTAAGTTTTGGGAGTGACTCCTAAAACCAAGATTTTTGAGCACAATTAACGTAAAAATTAACAATTAAAAATACTCTGTCATTGTGCTCATCTTTCTTTCCATTCTAGAAATACAAGTATTTTTTCCCTCATACTGATTCTTGCCATGTCAAAAGACATTTCTGACTGTTCCACTTTATGCCGAGAGTCATTTCCAGATTGTGACTGATTATGAATATAATGTACTTGTTCTTTCACTGGTTCACTTGACACATGATAATATTGAAATATAATATTAAGAAATTTATTCATATTTTTTGACTCTATATAGCAGGAGTGGCATTCACTTCCTAAACGGCATGCCTTTGGAAACTCTATGAACTTTGATAAATGATAATAGTTACAGAAAGGCTTCAGGCCTTTTGTTCATAGGGTTGTTATGAGTCGTGTTTGACTTGATGGCAATCAACACCTTATATTCACTTTAAAACTTATTAATAAATTATTCAATCGTTAAGAATGACAATGCTGTTTTAAAAGCTTTAGTATTTTTTAAAATTGAATTTGATAAATGAGACTTATATTATGAAACTCATAGTTTTCATTAAGCACAGAATGCTTCTAAATGAATACTCGGTGTCTTGTCACCTGGACGGACCAAACTCACAGAACATAATGAGATACTTATCAGGCAACATTGATAGGAAGCCTATTGCTGATTTTAGCATGATCTAAGGACTTTATTAGCTATATGTATCAGAGAGCTGAACAATGACTAGGGTTGATAGAAGGAGAATTGATGCCTTTGAGCTGTTGTGTTGGAGTATTGAATATACCATGGATGGCTAAGAGAACAAACAGGTCATCCTGGAGAGGGTGAAACCAGGCTGCTCCTTGGAGGCAAGGATTCTGAAGCTTCGTCTGACATATTTTGGACATGTTGCAAGGTGGGATCAGTCCTTGGAGAGGGGTGTCATGCTTGAGAGGGTGGAGGGACAGTGCGGGAGAGGAAGACCCTCAATGAGGTAGACTGATTCAGTGACTTGGGGAATGGGGGTAGGTATGTCAGAGACAGTGAGTTTGGCACAGGATAGAGCAGAGTTTTGGGCTGTTGTCCTTAGGATTGCTATGAGTGGCAGGTGACTTGAAAGCACATAACAACAACAATAACACAATGACTTTATTACTTTTATTATTAATTAATTTTACTAAGTAAAACAGTTACTATTTTATAATGGACTGAATATGTTTTTACAAATATAATCCCCACATTAATGATATCTGAGTATCACATTATCCATTTTTAAAACTATCGTTAAGAATATAAGAAATATGACATATTTTGCAAGAGAAACATCTAACATGACGTTTGGAGAAATAGGAAAGAAATAGGAAATAAGAGTTTTTAGAGAACCTTTGTATATACATCTCTCCCCCTACCCCTGCCCCAGGTGTGAACTCAGGACCTTCAGATTATGAGGCTGATGTGCTACCTATTGGCTACTTTTTCTAATTGCTAAATATGAAACCTGAAGGAATAGTGCTTAACACAATAGGCTGAATTAAAAAGTTGGCAGTTTGAAGCCATCAGCCATTCTATAAAAGAAAGACAAGCAAACTTTTCCTGGGAAGATTTACAGCTTGAAGGTCCCTATGAATTAAAACTGATGAAAGTAAAATTGTGTGTTGTTGTTTTGTTCTTTTGAATTGAGAAGTAATTTCTTTTGATGTTTACCATCTTTCACATAGAACTGAAAATCCTCCTCAACAGGTTGCCTAAAGCCCCCTTCACATCTTTATTCCTAAGGGTGTAGATGAAGGGGTTGAGTGTAGGGGTCACTACTCCATAAAAGAGAGCCATTAATTTGGGCTGGTCTCTTGTGATGGAGGAGGGAGGCTGAAGGTACATGCTAATGCCAGGGCCATAAAATAAGAAAACAACAACGAGGTGGGAAGAACATGTTCCCAAAGCCTTTTTTCTTCCCTCAGAAGACTTAATCTTCAACACAGCTTGTCCAATGCAAGCATAGGAAGCAAGGATTAAGCAGAGTGGAACAGCTAAAAGAAAAAGACAGACTACAAAGAGTGTGAGCTCATTAGCATGCTTTTCACCACAGGCAATCTTTATCAGAACAGGAATCTCACATAATAAATGATCTAGCTTGTTGATACCACAGAGGGGCAGCTGTAATGTAACAGTAGCCTCTGAGATAGCATAGGTCATTCCAGTCAGCCACACAACAGATACTAAGAGGATGCAGATTCGCAAATTCATAATGATGGTGTAGTGTAATGGCCTACAGATGGCCACATAGCGATCCAAAGACATAACAGCCAAGAGCAGACATTCTGTGCCACCCATCATGTGGAAAAAATAGAGCTGAACTGCACAGCCCATATAGCTGATTGTCTTCTTTGAGCTTCCCAGGTTAACCAGCATCTGAGGGACAATGCTTGTGGTATAACACATGTCCAAAAAGGAGAGATTAGTGAGGAAAAAATACATAGGACTGTGGAGCTGGGGGTCTAACGTGGACACCAAAATGATGGCAATGTTTCCTAGCATGGCCATAGGGTATGTGATTAGAAGAGTAACAAAGAGAGGAAGTTCTAGCCAAGGATGATCTGCGAAGCCTAGTAGAATAAATTCTTCTGGGTGACTTTTATTAATTAGTGCCATTATCATCAATTTATTTTATCTGCAGTAGGGAGTGCAAAAAAGAGAAAAATGTTATGAACATTGACAAAACATGATTATGCATTGATCATCTATGTACAGAAGGGATTGAGGATTAAGTTCCAACTAGTAAATAAAATGATGAAAACATAATAACTTTTTTTAGAGACCCTATAACAATGCGAAGGGAGCTCTGGAGGACTAGTGGATAAGGAGTTGCCCCACAATGGCAAGTGGTTTGACTCCAACAGCTGCTCCTTGGGAGAGAGATGGACAATCTCCTTCCTTGAGATTTACAGACTCTGAAAAACTTGCTGGAGGGTCAGCTCTGAGTCTGTTCAACCTCCTGGCACATAACAATACCAACCAATTAATAATATGAAGACAGCATTTTATAGTACTTTAAGGCAAAAATGATCTTCACTTAATTTAGCAGGAGTAGTGTTAACTTTCTTATAAAATTAAACCAAACTTCTTTAAGCACTTTTGTTGCCTTTTTCCTGTCTGCTTTTGCAATTAATTTATTGCCAGGAGCTAAGGTCTTTTCAATCACTTGCTGTGCATCCGAAAGCTGTACACTGAATAAGGATGACAGAAGAAGAATCTGTGCCTTTAAACTGTGGTGCTGAAGAAGAATATGGCATATTAACATGGACTTCCAAAAGAGCAGATTTTTCTTGGGGAAAGTGCAACTGCAGTATTCCTTACAGGCAAGGGTGGTGAAGCTTTGTCTTGTAAACTTAAGGCATGTTGTTAGGGAGGGCCATTCTTTGCAAAGGGAGGAAAATCCTTAATGAGATGGATTGCAAAGTGACTGCAGCAAAGAACTTCTGTATATCAGAGATAATGAGGAGACAGAGGATAGGATAGAGCTAATATCTGTTGTTCATAGGGTTGCTATGAGTCATACATGATTTGACTATACCTAACAACAAGAAGTCTCTTCTTAAGATGTCTTTTTATTCTTTTTCCCTGTTTGCTTCAGCAATTTTACTTTGAAAGTCAGAAGAGTTAAAAGATAGACTTTCCCTAACTAGGATAGTGTCAATGCTTTCCATGACATGTGGATAGCACCAACTACCTCCAGAAGATTGATGTGACCAGGTTGACCAGTCTGGGTAGTGACCACTGACCAAATCACTTGGAAAAGAGAAGAGTATTAAAAGTCCTCACATTGTACAGTCCCGTCCTCATATTTAAATGCTCTCAAGGTCTCCAAGATGGAGAGATAGATTTAGGAAGCTCATACACTTTGTCTTCTATATACCAGAATAAAGAAAAACCCACCTTTGGATTTGTGGTAACAAGACAATAAAATTTCTCTTTCACTACTGTTGTTTTTCATTTAGTTAGAAATGACCTATAGCAGATACTCTGGTGAGTTTGCAGAAACAGTTTAATCTCACAGGAGGAGATTGCACATCCTCCTTCTGAGGAGCAAATTGGTGAATTTGAACCACATGCTTTTGGGATGGCAGCACAGCTTTGTCACCTCTAAGCCACTAGGCACCTCAAATAAGGGTAATCACGTAAATATTTTTCAAGCAGAATATTTTGTGTGATAATATGTTAGTGACTTGAATTGTGATATCAATTAAAAAATATACAGATGTTTTTGAAAGCACAATATCATGATTATAAAACTTTGGCTTGCATAAGAGGAGCATAGGAGGCTCAAAGTGCAAATTATTTGTTCCTATATCAAGGAATCAATAGAGCTGTTAGAGTTGATGTGTCATGGGGCCTACAGATCATGTGACTTATGAAAAAAGTGACAATATTAAAGAATTGACTTGATGGTACACAAGAACAAAAATACAATTTAAGGAGGTTGTTCTTTGCTTTTGAATTGGGACTGATTCATAGCAGACCCTCCAGTGGGTTTTCAGAGGCTGTATATCACACAAGAATAGATTTCTTCATTTCTTGTGAGGAGCAGCTGATGGAGTCTAACTACCTGCAGCACAACTCCCTACCCACTATGGCAGCAGGAGCTCCTTCACTAAACATTAGTTAAAGGAGAAAAACTGAAACTACAAGAATCATCAAGATAGCTTTATTCAAAGACTTATTTTTCACCAAGGAAAACATTCAGGCAGCCAATAAACACATGAAGAAATGCTCTTGATCATTTGTTGTTGTTGTTATGCCCTGTCAATCTGACTGCAACTCATAGCAACCATATGGACAAAGGATCTGAACCCTGCCATCCTCAGCATCACTGTGATGTATGTAAATGCATTGTTATAGCCACTGTGCCAATCTATTTAAGATTTTTCATCTTTCTCTCATGGTGTAGCTGTGCATTTAAACCACCTAAGAAATGTGATCATTGAGTTAACAGCATAATTCTCTATGAACTACATCATGAGAGCTCTCTTATTAATCATTATTGTGTTATTACATGCTGTTAAGTCAGAACTGATTCATAGCTGACCCTCTAGTGAATTTTTAAAGACTATAAATCATATGAGAGGATTGCCCATCTTTCTAGCATGGAGTAGTTTGTGGATTACACAGCCTGCCTTTGGGTTGACAGCACAGTTGTTTAGAATTTTCTCATAGAGCTTAGTTGGCCTAGTAGACAGAAAATGATGCTATCAAGCCAAAGGTGGGTGATTTTAATCTGTGGCCCTCAGGCCTGGTTTTAATTGATTTTGGTCAAACCTTCTTGAAGTCGTATAGCACTGGTCTGTCTATTTTCTGTACAGAGGTAACTCATGGTTGCTGTGATGCCAAACACTGTGACATTGAGGTGTCAAATGTGATAATGGTTACCCATGGTGGACAGTGTTTGGTGGAGCTCTCTGATTAAAACAAGCTTGGAAGCAGGAGTGGCATCCCCTTCTGAAATAGCTTGCCTCCGGAAACCCTATGAACTTGAAGAAATGATGAAAGTTATGGAAGTGTTCAGTTCTTTTGTTCATAGGATCGCTAAGAGTTGCCTACAACTTGACGGCATTTAACAACAACAAACAAGGTCATCAGAGTTCATTAGCCATTATTATTATTGCTGCTGTTAGATGCCATGGAGTTGAGTATGACTCCTAGTAACCCAATGAACAACAGATATGAAATCTTTCCTGTTCTATCAAACATCTCTGACACATTGGACTCATTGTCACAGTTATTGTATCAATCCATCTTGAGATTTTTCTCCTCTTTCACTGACTTTTCTAAGCATGATGTCCCTTTCCAAGGAATAACATCTTCTAACAAGATGTCCAAACTGTGTTTAATGAAATTTCACCATTCTTATCTCTAATGTGCACTATAGTTGCACCTTCTCCAAGATTTAGCTGTCTGTTCTTTTGCCAGTCCATGGGATATTCAGTACTCTTCTCGACACCGCAACTCAAAGAAATTGATTTTTCTGTCATCCTTATTCACAGTCCAGCTCTCAGACACATAGCAAGTGATTGGGAAGACCCTGCCTTAAACCAAATGCACTTTGGTCTTTCAACTTACATCATTGTTTTTCATGACTTTGGAGAAGTCCCTGAAAGCAAATTTTCGTAATGCTATGTCTCTTGACCTCTTGACTTTGAAGTAATTCTAAATCCAAGTAAGAAGAACTAGTTGACAATTTCAATTTTTCTTCATCTATAATGATGTTGCTCACCCAGTGGTGAAGATTTTTGTTTTCTTGATGTTGAGATATAATCTATAGTGAAAGCTGTAGTCCTTGATCTTCTGCAGCAAGTACCTGAAGTCTTCACTGTCAGCAAGTAATGTGTGTCATCTGCATAAGGCAGGCTATTGATGAATTTTTCTCCAATTCTGCCACATTCTTCTTCATAAAGTCCAACTTCTTGAATGACTTGCTAAATATACAGATTGACTATGTATAGAGAAAGGATATAACTTTGATGCACACCTTTTTTTAATTTTAAATCATGCAATGTTCTCTTGTTCTATTTGGACAATAGCATCTTAGTCTGGGTATAAGTTTCATATAAATATAATGAAGCCATTGAAAATCAAAAGAACAATGATTTGTCATATCATTCCAGCAATTACAGTAAAATTCAGTAAGATAGAAATTAGCAAATGCTATAAGGGTGTGGAAATATTGAAACTTTCATAAACTGCTGAACAGTATAATGGTGCTCAGAAACAAAACATGACAGATTTTCAAGATGACATCTGCACTTAGATCAATCTCAAAATGCAGTTAAGTGGCAGTTTCTGCTAGTCTGTGCACTTTATGCTTTAAGCTATGAAGCAAGTGACACTATGAGAAAGATTAGTCTAATATCGAGGTTTTTCTGTTGTTGTAATACTCTTTTTTAATTTTATTTTTGTGTGTGTGAGTGTACCGTCAAATCAGATCTGACTGGTACAGGAGGAGATTGTCCCTCCTTCCCCGGCAGAGCATCTGGTGGATTCAAACCGTGAGCCTCTGGGATTGTAGTTGCAGCTCCTTGCCACTAGGCCACCAGAGCTCCCCTTGTAATATTCTTTTAAGTGGCGAAATTTGTTTCATGAAATACATTATTATTAAAATGGAGTCTTCAGATGTGATGCTAAGATATTGCACACAAATAAAATTCTGTGTGACTCGGTCATTTTTTAGTAATTTAAGGATTAAGGCATAGTGGTTTAAAGACCACCTTCCTAATGTTGCCTTGCTAAAAGTATAGTTTTCACAGTATCTTTCACATTAAACCTCAAAGTTGTCCCCATGAAATGTTACACAGAATTATTGAGAGTAAATGCCCTTTGATGACATACTATTCTAGGCTACTGGTGTGCTGAAACAAGAACAGAGCAACAGTAATTCTAGCTAATCCCTGATGATCCCTTGTGTCCTAAATATGACAACATATTTTCATATGTGTTAACTCATTTAATTTGTAGAATCCATGCTACAGTATACTGTTGATCTTTGATTCCTCTTAATTTAATTGTTTCTAAGTAATAACCATCTCATAGATGCTCCTCTAGTGGGTTTAAGAGGCTACAAGTTGCAGGGAGGAAATTGTTTATCTAGAGCTAACAAA